TGAGCAACAGCTTGGGTTTCAAGCTGGAGAGGGTACAAGCCTGTGGCCCACTAGCAAGTCAGACAAAATGATGCAATGCTTCTTTCTTCCTGAATTCTGCAGCCTGCCCTCCAAAGACATCTAAAGATAAAATGTGCCATTACAATGGGTGCTAATTTTGAGGCAGGTGATGCTCATGAACAGTAAGTGGTACCTGCCTGAACCTCGAAGTAGCAGCGGGGAGTTTCAGGGAACAGGAGGGGCACAGCTGTAAAGTCAAACCAGCATTTCTGCTGCAGTCAACCAGCGTTTCTTATTTCTCAGTTGATAGTTTAATCTATTTTAATGATTAGCAATACTGATGTTGAGTGTAATCACCTTGTCTGATACAATTGCTAGAATCTAAAAGTCAACTTGATTTTAATGGTTTATCATTAGGAGTATTATTTAGTTGGATTAAACTGGTCTTAATTCCTCCGCAGTCATCATTTAAAAGCTGTTTGGAGCACATTACAGTGGCCGCCCTCATCATGATATGAATCAATGCCCTGCCTCCGTGCCATATATTTTCATCAGCATCTAGCAACCAGCCACATGGATGGACACCAAAGTACTACCAGCTTTTAATATTCATGAATCGTCCCTACCATCATTAAAATTTCCTTAAGGCGCACCACAGCAGTGGTTAGATTTACCTCTCCTGGTGGTGATGGGGCCCATTAACCCCTGATTATCAGAAGAATGGCTGGGAAACGCTCTACGAACTGGGATTTAGAGGAGAAGCTGGAGCAGCCCTTGCTGCAGTACTGAGGAGCTTTCAGGGGACAGATCCAGACCCGTCAGAGGAAGCGCTGTGCTGCAGAGGCAGCTCTGGGTGCATCCCTGTCGCTTGCCGGGGCTGCATGGTGCCCATGGTGGCACTGCCCAGCGGCCACTGCCGCTCATCCAAGCACAGGGCATGGGAACGGGGCTCTGCCGGCAGCACGGATGCTGCCCCAAAGCTCCCCGAGCCCAGGGAGCACCAGCCTCCCAGTTGGGAGGCCGCTGGAGTGACCAAGGGCATGTCCACAGCCAAGAGCCAAAGCAGCGGCTTTTGGAATGAAACCTCTGGATCTCTCCCAGTCCTTGGCCCCGCGGCAGCAGGCAGCTGGGGACTGAGCAGGGCTGCATCGCTGCTCCTTTCCTGGCTGGGTACCAAAGCTGCCTCTCTCCTCCCTCCGTGGCAGCGCCGTGCTCCGCTTCCTGCCCACAGGGACCAGCAGCCCTACCCACCCTCGCCCACAGGACGGATGTCCTTCACGTGCAGAGCATTAATTTCCTACCCTTCTGACATCAGGGGGGGTATTTGTGCCACTGGGGAACTTGCCTGGGCTTGCTTTGGGAAGCAGGCATGGGGTGCAGGGACCCACAATGCCCTGGCTCGGTGTCCCGGCATCAGCTCACTGCAGCCGTTGGCCCAAGTGTTTTCCATGTCTTTTCCTTGTTATCCATGAAGTCTTCTTTGTTGTCCGCTACCCGAGTACTAATAAATGTCATTTGAAGGGACTCAAGCCCTGGATGTGGGCAACAGCTTCTTCGGCTTCTCTCAGTTAAAGCTTTGATTAACTTAACCTGCAGCTTCTTACACACAGTGCCACACGGATGTTTAACTCTTAACTTAAACATCCATAAACTTAAACCATCATGGATGTGTTAAGTCACGCAAAGGGGCGGCAACAAAGCAAGCGGCACAAGGCACAGCTGCCAGTTTCTCCAGCACAAACATTGCTGTTAGGAAAATGCCATTTCTTGCCCGTAATAGCCACTGCCGTAACAAACTGCGGGTTTGTCTTGCATCTCTGAGGTTACAGAGGAATAAGTAAGCAAATAATGATGGGAGTAATTAGAACAAGAAGGCTGTTGCCCAGCCGTTGATATTCTCGTCTCTGAGGCTTCCCAGGGAGAGAGCAACGACCTTGCACAGGTTCAGTCACGGCGCTGATGGCAAATGGAGACACGGCCTTGGCTTCTGCTCTTTGAACCTGAAAATATGCTGGTTTTTCTTGTTGTGCTTTCTTGTATTTTTGGTATGGTTGTCAACAACTCCCCTCTGGAAGGTATTGTACTAAAAACCTTGTGGGAGCATCTCCTGTTGCTTCTGTAAGATGCTGGAGACCTCAAAAGCCATTTAGTAGGAAACGGGAGGAGATGAGCTCTTGGAGCAGCCAGCAGTGGTTGCTTTTGCTCCATACTTCTTACTAGATGAACTGACCTTGTTTCCTTTAGACTAATAATACATTTTTTTTTTTGTCAGCAAGAATACAAGCATGAATTTAGAAAAAAAAAAAAAAAACACTGGCAAATTTACAATTTCAACAGATAGTCAGAAGTAGTGAATTATGCACATATTTATTGTATTGAAACAAGTGATCAAAACCGATGTGTAACAGCCGGGAGTAACTCCATTCCTGGAAGAATCTTCTGTGGACGGTAGAGATCCGTGTTAGCTAAATTATTTGATTAATTTGTTTAAAAAGAAAGCCCTGAAGACATTTGAGATGTTTCCTTTAGTTAATGAGATTTCCATGATAGTTAAAAAAAATAAAATTAGAAAACAATGCCGTTAATCTTGGATTACATGCAGCACGGGGGAAGAATTAGTAACATAAAGCGAGATGATTACGACACTTTACTTTCCCAACAGAATCACTGTGATAGATGCTACGGGCTGTATTTCCCCATCTGAGATGAACAACGAGGTGATCAGGGTCTGCCCTTTAGGCTCTAACCTGATGTATTTGGGCACGGCTCTAACTGCTCCTTCTGACACGGCAGAGTCTGGTTCCAAGGAAATAATTTTGCGCTGTGCAAAGGAGTGAGAGAGACCTAATAGGTGCTAGGGAACAGCAATATTTGTTGTAAATGTATGTAAATGTACAAAAAAAATGTAAATATTTGATCAGCTCTGGCAGTCAAATCACTACTTGGAAATAATGTTTTTTCAAGTATTCAGTTAACCCCTATACTAAATATTACATATATATGAACCATCAATAACTATCACTGTTTCACATTTTAAAAGTTAAATTATTTTCCATTAGAATTCTCAAATCAAATCACAGTAACTTTATATATCCCGTATTTGGCTGTTCTAATAAACAGCAGTATGAAACGGGGATAAAAAGACATCCCAAAATAGGATTACAAATAGCAGTAAAAGGGGAAATAATCTTTGAAGAAATAATATAAGAACAAATTCTAACTAACTGCATTAAACAGTAACAAGTCATGGTTTCAATCACCAGCCAGGCAGGAGTTTGATAATCTCATGTGTACAGCATATAAATCTGCGAGTACGACAAATTGCGTTTTAATTTATGTACTGAAAAGGTTAACTTCTAATACCCTCTACTCGCTTCAGAAATCAGGGAAAAACGCGTTTGCTCCATGTACGCGCTGGGACGAATGAAGCAACCGCCTTTGCTGGGGTAGATCTTGCATCAACCCTCAGCCTCTCGCAGAGGGGCGAAACATTTCAGCAGTACTCGCCTTTCCACAGTAGGACTTAGCAAATCCCTTTTACTCAGCTATTGGGGCGCTGCCTAAACCACCATCACTGACGCGGGGATTACTGAGCAGCATTTTCGGCGGGACCACCAGCCACCCCGACCTCCCAAGCCACCGGAATGGGCTTATCCTTCCCCGGGGCGTTGTGCCCCTGACACCTAATCCACCACCTCGCCGCCAGCCGTCGCTTGGCCAGCCCCAGCTCATTTCTAGCAAAACCACAGAGTTCAGTTACTCACGTCCAGTTACTGCTGCAGCAGAAGTTGAAATTCAATTTCCGCATACAGCAGCAGGGATGGGATCGCTCCCCATCCCTCCAAAACCACCCCAACCCTGTTTTGTGGGTTCTTATCAGGGGCACGTGAAGTTCTATAAAAGTTCAGAGAGAAAAATGCTTCATTTTTAGGGTGCGCTTTTGGCAGCAGTTTAGGTACAATCAATTGCACTTACTACTTTATTATTTAAAAAGAAATGTATTACTTATTAGTTTTTATTATTTAAAAACAAAATTTAAATCGTCTCCTTTTAACAGTTATCTGAAATCAAAGCTTCCTAAGCCCATGAATGTATAAAATGCTCATATTGTCCTTTATAAAAAACCAGCCCTTTTGTTCACAAACTTATTTATTGACGAGTGAATCATTACACATATATCAATGAAATATTAACAAGTTTATTCTTTGAGATAATTTTGTTAGTTTTCTTTAAACACAACCCAGTATTGCAAAAAATCCGCAATTATAAGGTACGGTCTCCTTAGCTTCTATTTTTTTTTACTTATCTAAACCAGAAGCTTGCAAAGAAAATGCATGTTGTACAAAAACATTACATGAGGTATACAATGACACACAGTACTTGTATTCCTTGGAACACACAGGTATTGATGTATAAATGTTTTAACTCTTAAAAACAAAATGCAGCGATACTCTGCAATGAGCTGCACGTGAGGCTCCCACCAACTCACACCAGATTTCTGGTTTTGCACCAGTAACAGATCCCCCTGCACTGAATTTACTTAATTATAGGACGTTTGTTCTTCTGATGCATACAAAATATGGAGTATGAACAGAAAAGGCCAAATCTTAGATACAATGCAACTGGAGTGAGCAGTCTGCAGCTCCAGGTTGGGTTCAAGGCACAAGGGTAATCTCATCCATTCTTCTTAAACCAGCCATGCTCATGTTAACTAGATGCACACGTTCACCTAAAAATAAATAGTCATCCCATGATATGCACTGTCTCATGATGTCAAATAAATATTTCTATGGCACCTACTGCTGTGACTCCATATCACACTCTGGGGAGAAACAGCCAAAATGGGAAAAAGTCAGGAAAACAAAATTGTATCTATCCTGAAACAACACAGTAAATATTAAATATTTTATCACTGGCATGTCATTTGCAAATAAGTAATGACAAATTAATGTCAAAATAAATAATAAAAAATAAGTAATAAATTTGGTCCCTAAGCAACTGTAATCTTAACCGTTCGTCAAAGTCATCCAAGAGCAAAATCCAATGAAAACAGGAGCCAAATCCAGCCCGACACTAGGCAGTCTCCTCATCCACCAGCAATGGTTCCACTTCCAGCGCTACTAAATCAGATTGTCTTTCCTTGTGCTGATGGTACAGGATGAATTGCACAGTCACCTGTTATTTTGGGGTAAGGAAGTAATTAACTAGGATACAGAGGTAGCATTTGCAGTGCTTGCTTTCAATTAAACCCCAAATAAGCTGTACAGAATAAAAGCAGCCATCCATTTAGTTCTGGCACAGACTCTGAATACCACAGTCCGCAGAGGAAAGCTTAAAACTTGCTGTATCTAATTCATGTACTGTAGTGTAAGTATTATCCATTTACTTAATCCCGACTGTGGAATTTTCTACATTAGCATATAACCTTTTCCAAATCCTACTTAACGCTCATTTTCAGTACTTCTTTATGGCAAAAGAAGTTTCACTCGCAACACTAGAAAAGGGAACATGCAGAAAAATTCTAACTCAAACCTTCAGATCCCCTTCGTTATATGGCTCAAATACACATGAAAATATCCTGTACCACCTCATCCTCTTGCTTGCAAGGCTCCCAAGTGTGAAATTCATTAGAAGCAGCATAGGAACAAGGTTCATCTAGGAACGATGTGGAGTCAAACATGCTGCCCTGTGGTCTAAATACATACAGCCCCAGTGGTGTAAATACTGCGGGCTGGGCTGCGGGTGGATGCTGGTAAGGAGGGGAAGTTACTAAAACCTTTTTTTAGCAATAGATCAGCAGGGCCTGATGAGAAACTAAAATTCTGATGTCCTGCAAAATTCTAGGTGGTTTGGTATTTACAAGCACTGACAGGCAGACAACGCTACGTCTCAATATTTAATGCTGTTTTCAACACAGAATAGTGCAATTAGACATCATCATTTATTTCTATTGTAAAACAGACCACTGGAAATACTGCTAAGCTAAAAAGAATTAACAACTATGTACTTGTCCTTGATGGTTCCAGCCCTCCAACAAAATTATTGACATTGCACATACACGGCCTTTAAATAATAAAAAAAAAAAAAAAGGGGTTGTGCATTTAGAACAGACAGGAGAGAGGTCTCACTCTGCAGAACTTTTGCTAGATAGTTGAGTTGTATACTTGAGTACTGAAACTCAATGCATAACACTTTTCTGATAGAGATACCGTATTAAGATATAAAGATACCATGCAAACCCAGCCAGCTATGCCCTTAAGTATTCTTTAGTATTCTATTCTTTTCTAAGAAATACGCATAGCATCCTACAGAATAAAGATTTCCTAGGCACAGTAAATCGATATGGGAATGACGAGAAAGGCAAAGCAGCAGGTACCAGAAGCCTGTCTTCCCCAAGGCAACCCACCCCCAGACAGCCAAGCGGCAACACTCTGTATGGCAGGATTTATGGCTCCTACTTCTTTTGCCCGCTTTGGGCACTTTTTTTTTTTCTTTTTCTAAAAGATGAAGTGATTTCAGCAGCAGACTGCTAAACCCAGTGTTACTTGCTATCCAACTTCACTGAAGAAAGTTTTGCGAAGGACATTAAGATGGGTGAAAGCGGGTGGAGTAGATGAGGTCAAGAAGGGAGCCTCCAACATAAAGATCTGCATGAAAGCGTGCTTAAAGGTATGTGGTGTAGAAACAAGCAGCCATCCATATACCCAGCTACCTTGCCCAAATTCTAATGTACGATCATGTGTAAGTTCAGCTTTCTGAACTACTGTTACACGTAAAATCCCATTTTAAAAATGAAATAGTTTCTCTGGGAAGAAATCTGACATACAGAATTCTAGCAGGAACGCTTCAGATCAGTTAAAATAACTTGGCTAGTAGACAATGGTTGTAAGAAGTTTGAGGCTACTGTATGTAATTATTTATAAAAATAAGGGGGGGAGGAAGCTTTCTGGGAGGCCTGGATGAATGGAGAGGAAATTCTCTACATCCTAGGCAGAGCCCCAAAAATTAACCCACCTTCCCCTAGCTTTCCAGCACCCCACCTCTGAGGCCCCTGAACTAAAGACTAGACAGGATTTCCTTCAGAGACAGCAGCTCAGCACTCCTTTTTTAGTCTCTCTATAGTATTATCCTGGGAATGCTTTCTTCTTACAGCTTCGCAAATTAGTTTTATAGTGCATATAGCTACCACTTAAATTTCCTGCCTTTTTTTTTTTTTTTTCTTTTTTACAGGCCTTACTGTACTTGCAGCTGAGCACCTCCCCAAGTCTTAATAGTTGCACTGGTGGAAAAAGAAACTGAACTGGAAATCAAATTTGCTGAAATCATACTGTGGGCTTGGGACAAGCCTGGGCTGCAGCACCGTGCACGATCACTCTCAGCCACGAGTTGGCAACAGCAACAGAGCTTTTAAGGAGGAACGAACTACATACACAAGTTATGTGGAGCTTATCAAACAGTATTTCCAGAATATGTTTTTGTAGCAGATGTACTCAGCTGCTTTTATTTTTTAAATAAATGCTAAACCACCAAGACTACTTAATACAGAAACTTGCTTGCTGCTCAGGTCTGACTTTCTGAGGGAAACTTTAACACCTAAGTGTGCCGACAGCCCAAGGTGGAAGAGGCAACCCAAGTGACTTCTCAGAGTAAAGTTCATGACAGCCGCTGCTTATCAAATTTGTTTCATTAAATTAAACAATTTAATGACAATTCAAGAAACTAAACCGTTTTGAGACAAAAGTGGGTATTTATAGGAGCGCAGAAAAGTTGTTTGACCGGGAAACTCTCCTGGCTGAATTGTCAGGTCACGCTGACATTCTTTGCACAGTGTAATTAAATTACAAAGTGTGATGTTTTGTAGAAGTATATAATGGCTTCCAAGTGGTTGCCCTGCAAATCACAAAAGGTGCAAGAGAAGAGTCTGTGTACAACAGTTTGGCTCTTGCTGAATATACTTTGGCTATCTAGTAACAACCTGGCTACACTTAATGAAAAGAAGTACATGTGGAGGATTTGAACACAGTTCTCTGACAATAGGGTGATGCTAAGTTAAAAAAAGAAAAAAGGCAAAAATCTTGGTAAAGGGCTTTGTCTGAACTAAACACAAAGCAAAGTTGTTTGGTTTTGGTGGGAGTGGAGGAGGAAGGAACGAGGGTGAAAGAGGGGAGCAGACTTACAGAAAAGGACAAAGTTTTCTGGAAAAACTTGCACTAGATTCACTCTCTTGGAAAACTCAGTGATGGCTGCTGCTAAAAGCCCAAGGGCAGAACTACTCATCAGCTGATTTAGTATTTTAAAATATGTAGTAATGCATCCTTGTGTACAAGCGAAACATGAAGTAATCATGCACATAAAATAAAGCTCTAATAAGGTCCACCATGGAACCTTAAAATAGGCAAACCTGGACTAAGCGGCTCTGAGTGACAAGGCGCCGGATCAGGCCCATTTAAACCCTGAGCTTTGTGGTTTCTTGAGAAACTCCAACCACCTTCCACTGTAAAGGAAACATTTTCTGCAAAAGAAAATCGTGTCCAATTTCTAATTCAAATGTGTAACACTATGAAAATCTTCTTAAAATGGAAAGGAGAACAATTCATACTTTACAAACAACTGGACACTTCCATTATTTGTTGAAAATAACTGGCTTCTTGTGCAACCAAATAACTTTAAAACACCAAGGAAACGGGAGAACGGTGTTAGCCTGTTAAACTGAGCTGAAACAACTCCAGTGTAATCCTGCACTAAGTAACGCTGGAGCTGCTGTTCCAGCTATGATCTGGAGTCCATTTGTTTCTAAAAATAGTCAATGCCAGCCATGTCAGATGGAAGCAAAAGAATACTGCAGCAGACACAGAGTAAGTGAACTCTTAATCCTTGCTTGGACCTTGAGAAATGAGAGTTTACTTTCCATCTAATGAAACTCTGGACACTATCAGGAATAAAGTCTACTAGAATTAGGCCACTTCTGCACCTACTCTTAAAACAGAGACTGTTACACAAATGATCAATTATGAAACACTTCCCTCTTTGCAATTATTACTTTTTGGTTTAATTCCTCTTTTCCAAAACCCAGGTGATCCTGTTCTTCGTTTTCTGGTCCAACATGACATACCAGTTTGTTAGATTTTTGATTTTCTTGCCTGGCAAGAGACAGCAATGAAACTTTCTTTAAAAGCATTGATTTCCATACCTTCAGGGCTTCTCAAAGCAGGAGGTCTGCTTTTGTTTTCTCTTGATTACAAATACTTCATACATTTTCAACTAACACTATATACTTGACTAGATTCCTATAAGCTCCTCAACCTGATTTGGAAGCATCTGTTTTCAATATAATTTGAACTGGAGGACTATTAGCAAGATTGGATTCAGACTCCAATCAAGACAGGACCCAGAAATGAATGTCATGTGCACACTGGCACTGCAATCCTGGGGCAGGGTCAGAGAGGGGGGAGGTTTTGTGGCCAAGCTCCTTTTCAGAGTACATCATAGAAAGGCATCTGCAAATATGCATATAACGTACTGTAAGGGTCATCAAGATCAAATTCTAGGGTTTTTTTGGTAAATAAATACCGGCCTGTTTATATTTCCAGCTGGGGGTGGAAGAAAGAGTCACTACTTCCTTCATGGAACAAAAGGTCCAAGAGCTCAAACCAGCCACATGGGCTAGCAACCCTGAAGCCCTACAATCTGCTCATGCAAAAAACCCTGCATTGTCTCATAAAAGATAAAACTACAATTTATTTCAAAACGGGCCACGAACCACAGTTTAGTCTCACCGCTGGTGGAGTATTGTCTTCCCACAATGCAGAATGTTTTACTAAACTGCCCGCTTACATCGCCATGGCTGGAGATGCAGAAAACACAGAAGGCTACGCTGAACGATGCTGTCATTTAACAGTCCATCCAAAGGCCAGGGTCAGCTGTCCCATTGCTAGTCTAATTGGAGTGGCTGATGAAATTACTTTAATCAGAAAGACAAGACTGATGCCTGGGAATCATAACTTCTGGAACCGTTCCAGGTAAATCTGGTAAAGAACTTCCTTTTAATATGGAACAGATTAACACAATATGCTTCAGCAGGGTCCTGAAATCACTCTTCATTTTATCCTGTTTTATAGCTTGAGTTCATGGAGCTAAGTACCAAGATGTTTTCAGACACCAACCTAAAATTCTTACTTCCAGAAAAGTCAGAAAATCTCCTCTTTTTACTCTTTTAAGTGAAAATACAAGCTATAGTAACAAGACAGGTAACTACAAACCTACAGTGAACAGCAAGACCAAGTACCACCACATTACCGTTCACTAGGGTTTTAAAGCAGAAATACAGTATTACTCTAAACACTTTGCTTTTAATTTCTTGATCACAGAATGATAACGCTCAATCCAGAAAGAGCGTGACTAACAATAGCTAATATCCTGTGGGCATTTTATGTATGTCCCCTCAATATGAGAATAAAAAAAAAAAATTATAGTGTTTTAAGTTTGCTCAGGACTTTCATAACATCATGACAGACTAATCTAGGTAACTGTGTAGTCAGCCCCTAGCACGACTCAATGAGCATAGCTGCTGGTTTCCAGAGGCACTCGGGGTCTCAGTGCATCTAATTTTGCCCCAAATTATGCAGTTAAGTGTAGCTGTAGCATTTCTTTGTTAAATGCTATTTTCTGAAACTAAGTTTGCCAAAACCTCATTGTTTGTCTCTGACGTTAATGGAATCTTGCAATAACACGATTTAACCAAATTCTCAAAGCTGTAATTGTATATTTGCATTTAAAAACAAGCAGGTTTGGGGTTTGTTAGTTTGTTTGGGGTTTTTTTGTTGTTGCTTTTTTTACATTTATCAGACAGAAAACCTAGGAAAAACACCACAATGTGCAAACACCCCACCCTCCAACTTTTAGTGTACTACGTATTGGCTACAAGATATAAATTAATCTGTGCAATGTAGCTTTAATGTAGATATTTTCTATAAACTTGTTATTCTTATCAAGAAATATTATTATAAAAAGCATAAAAATTATTGTTCAGAAAGAAGATTTTGTGATCAAGGTTAGAATCATAGAAAAAAATTTGATTTAAAAGAAGATCCAATTAATTTCTGATCTACTTATTAACAAGCCTATCCAGAGAAACTCTAGCTATAACAGGAAAAGGATACAAAAAAGTCTAGAAACAAAACTCCAAAGCTCCCAATGAGCCATGGAAGATGGTGCAAAAAGTAGAGAGCCCGGAAGGATTCAGTAGCTGGCATCTTTAAAACAAGGCTGAGTCCATATGTACAGTTTCCCATCATGGCTAATGCAAACAGCAGGTAAGAGGTGCCTTCTGTTGATCTTCTTCGGAACTAAATACAAAGAAGTTTTTACAAACACAAAGAAATGTTAAAACATGTTATCACAGTAGCCAGTTACAGATAAGTTTGGCATCTTGTACTATAACACGTCCACAGACTTTCAGTCATTCTTGTCCATCTCTTCCTGGGCTCTGAATCCCCCGGGCTTTCAGCACACACCACTGAAAACCAGAGAAATCGTTACAGTTCTTAGCAGCAGCTCTGGTTAATATAATTCTTATGTAATTCTTATGTAAGTGCAAAGCAGCAAGGATAATCTGCTTCCAAATGATATTTAGTTTTTAAGAAATCTATGGCTCTGTCAGCCTGTTTAGTAGACCTTTTTGAAAATACTGTGGTATTCCAGCTGTGAAGGAAAAGGTAGAGGGGGAATATGAATAGGCTTGGAAGTGAACTAATCATTTCCACAATCAATTAAAATGCCTGTATACAATTGACAATGTAAAACTTTCAGGTCTTTTGCTGTGGTGGGTTGTTTTGTTTTGGTTTTTTTTAATATACTGATAGTGAAGAGGCTGGGGGGGGAGAGTGGGGGAAGTCAGTAATGACATCGTTGTGAAAAGGGGCTAAAATTCTAAACTAATTTTCCTCTAATTCTAACTTCTGATCCCATGGTTGGTTACTTAAGGTAGAATAGTTTGGAGAAAGAAAAGGGGAGACATCACTTGCTCATGACAACAATCACAGAAAGCGTGTTTCTGCTCATGTCTGATAAACCCAACTGTAAACACTTACTCTTCCTCGGCTAATAAATCCTCTTCCATCAGTCAAAGACCATCATCTTCCTAAAATTCTCACCATCCACCTCAGAATGAGAAAAACCCTCATTTTTTTTATTAACCACTTTAGACAGTCACAAAAGCAAAGTCGGCTTTCGATTCAAGAGGGCACACTGTTAGGGAGAATCCAACATCTAAAGCAACAGAGAGTATTTTGTAAAATATGTACGTGTACTTATCCAAAAACCTACTTACATTTTTATACAGCTGAGGAAATCTACTTCCCAAGTAAAACACACAGGATATATAGCCACAAATGAAGCCTGACATTTCAATCATATTGAGAGAGTTCTGAAAAAGAAAGGTACATATATTTTGGCAAGAATGTTTTCAGGCATTTCAGAGGATTAAACTGAGAGTGCACCGGCTGATTTTCTGGACAGAACTCCTTTCAAAGCAGTTCAGTGCTGCTCTTCAAATGACCAAAGAGGGCTAGAAAGGGTTTAATCTTTATCTCACAACAATGCACACTGCTGCGTCATAGCCATGACCAAGATCAAAACTAGTGCCAGGCTTTAGGATACGGCACTAATATCAATCCAGTCCTCCTGCTAAAAAAGCCTGGGCACAATAATTCAAACCAAAACCAAGAACTGTAGCTAGGGCCACTAAAAAAATGAATCATCCTGTCTGGAGAAAGCAAAATACTCATTTTTCACAGTTTAAGAGTTGTTAGTTTTCTCACTCTAGCTGTGTTTTGAAAATAAGCTGCTTCCCTGCTGGGCAATGTTGCAGGATTACAATTATTTTACTGGTGAAATGACAGCAGCAGCAGGTACAATTGTAATTTCCCATTTTCATTGATTTCACTTGTGACTGTGTAGTCATGGATGTCTACTGTATTTAACACAAGCAGAAACACAGCACACATACATGTTATTTCGCAGAGCAGCACATCCTAATGACGAAGGGACAGAATAAACCCAAAACACAGGAAGCTGCTAAAAAAGCTATTTTGCAACCTCTTTATTTTGGGATGGATGGTCCATGGTTAAAATATCCACATAGTGCCACGTTTATAATTTCTAAAGCATTCTTCAAAACATCATCCAAATTTCTTTAAAGCTTAGAGTACATTTTTGGGTGGGAATTTTTTGGAATGGAAGCAGGTAAGAACTTACATTGCTCCTTTCGATTACTGTCGTCTGGTCTTGGTTTCTTAGTAACAGCTGACAGGGTAGAATAACACACAGTGCTATACACACTATGATCCAGGTTATGCAGAAATTCTTCAGGCTTTTGCTGCCTAGAAAGACAGACAAACAAATTAGCTGAAAAATAACATCTGCTGTCGATTTAAGGTTACTTTTTGTTTGCGATGTGAATTTAAAGTTACAATTTCATGTATCTTTTTTCTTGGCAGCAACACAAATACACCTCTTTCTTCTGGGCTCTGTGCCCACCCCTGCTCGCTATCATAGCTGTGCTGCGTCTTCGTGCATCAGCTGAGAGTAGCAGTGCAGGAACAGGAGGGGAACTCCTTAAACAGGCACTGCTACTGAGAGAGAAAATTCTCATACTCAGCTTCTCTCTTATACTAACTCCTACTACTTTACTATTAAATAACAGCTGATAAACAGAAAACTGCTAAGTAGAATAGAACATAACAGTTTCTTGCAGCACATCTTGATTAAAAACTGCAAAAGCAAGGATATTTGAAATTTCAATGAACAAAAATATCTTTAAGATAAATACGTAACCCAAGTGTTCTGCTGGACCAGTCTCTCTGTCCATGGTTAGCTAGATATTGAGCCTTACTGAAACTCACATACTCAAAGACTCCATCTAGCAAATCTCCATAGACACCTACAAGACAACTTGAAAATGGCAGACAAGCCTCTGCAACTCTGGAGCTATGCTATCTTCTGTATCTACAAGATGCTGGTAAAATCCTGCGGTCACTGTTACCAGTGGAACAAACTGCTGTACAACATTAGTAAGCCTGTCCTAAAGACCTGTAGTCTACATTACACAGACTTAGTAGTTCTGTTCCACAGGCTGCACTTTGAGATACAAAACTGACCAACTTGTCTAGGGTAACTGCTCCAGAACTGCGTATCAGAAAGCCCTCTTTCACAGCCCTAGTCATGGTACCGTTCCTCCCTCTCCAGCCACGCAAACCATTGAGCTGAAACAGGCACTGGTGGTCAAAATGTAAAAAAGCCTGCATTTGTTTTCAAGAGGAGGCAGCAGGAAGGAAATATCTTCAGCACTGACTTATCTCCAGGCTTATTATCAGTTCCATATTGAATGAATCTGCTTTATCCCTATTTAGTCTGCTGGGCAGGCATCTGTTTTACTTCAGCTTTTTGCTACCTCTGCTGCACCATGGATTTCCTTCAATACTTTTTTTTTTTTTGATTGATGAGTTAATGTATTTGATTTGATACAATGTGAACAGAGCTTTCTGTCTTCCTTTTCAGTCAAAACAGTGGTCCATTGGTAGGCTGAACACTACAACTACTGCCAGGATTTTATGAAGCAGAACTCAAGTAATTTCATTCCCCTTGAATATGTTTTTTAACTGTATATATTGAAACAGAACACATGAAGATGTCAAGATATTTTATGCTATAAGCAAATAAAGTCCGGTTTCAATCAACATGGAGGAAACTAACTGAACCACACACAGAAATAATGCTTGCTTTCCACTTACATGTATATTTAGATAGCTGTAAGTAAATAGTAAAACCATGGAGGAAGTTAAAAAATATGGAGTCAGATTCCACAAAATTACTGTATTTTATATGTCTCTATAAACTGAAAGTACTACACAGAAAATACATACAGATATTTTGTGGATAAGAAAAGAGACAGTCAGAAAGGCAGAGAAGAGAAAGGGCAGGATTTTCACAAGAGTCTGAGAAAACCGGAAGCAATAGGCCTAACAACTTCAACCCAGATTTGTGCAGTCTATTTTTGGTCCCTCTGAAAAATATTTATTTAAATGCTGTAGAAAATACCAAAGAGTGTGCTACATTATGGAGAACATTTTAAGTGTTGAAAAACCTTACATTTTGTCATCTTCTGATTCTTGAGCTTATAGTAGACAAATTGTGAAATCATAATTACATCCATGTTAACATAAAAAATGGCAGTGACAATCTGAAAGAGAAGATATATTTGCTTGTTCAGTATACAAATAGTTCAAAATACCTTAACTTAACTGCATGGAAATTTTGCTTCACAATCATAATGTGAATGACAAATAGCAAAGCACTGCCAAAAAAAAGCCACCCCAACAACCCCAAAAGAAAGCATTTCCAGAACAAAACAAGTTAGACTGCTGCAGATGAATACAGTTAAACCTTATGCAACAGGGTCATTTTCCAGGATGCATAGCACAAATTCCTACCTGGACTGATAAATCCTTCCTGCCCAGAAGCTTAAGTCTGTTCCACCTAGATTCCCAGCACTTCAGAAGCTACTAATCTTACTCAGTGCCTCTTCCCTCAATAAGACAAACCCGACATTTGCCCTTCCCCTTTTCAGAATGGGAGATGGAACAGTTAAGTGTCACACCTTAAGTGGCAAAAGAGAAGGCAACTCTGTCCACCCCTGGGTCCATCTACAGCTTGTGAAAACTTCTGCAGGTGGCTGACACATACCTCTTTCGCTTTTAATTAAGAGTCAAAAACAAAAGCCACAGACAAGAAAGTTTTGGACACAATTAATGTATTGCTGAAAATGACCGTCAGAGAAACCCTCCCCTTAATGAAGAAAATATATTTTCAAATTAGTCAGACATTAACCACTTTGAACTAGTATTTCCCTGTTAATAAACAGTTTTCATATAAAAAAAACAACAAAACCCCCAAAAAACCTACCCAAGACTAAGTTTAAAGAGTAGCTGCCGAAAACAACTTGATCTGTTACAAGCTAAACAACACAACTTACTTCCAGCCCCTTCCAGTCCTATCTGCTCTGCAAGCTTACTTTGAAGCTGAAGCTCAAATGAAAATTCCCCACTTCATTCATCATTGAGTAACACCCAGTAAGTCTCTCTGAATGTTAATTACAAGTGTGAAATGGTTCCTATAACACCTAAGAGTATCAATGTAAAATATTTGGGAAATCGTGACAATTTTATAGATGGTAGATCAGCAAACACAATACAAAACTGTTTTCTTTCCCAGTATGTACTTTGCTGTGCAATATGCAGTTATCCTAGAGTTTAAAGAGACAGTTTGAAAAGGATAAATCAAAAAGTAAGAATACTGACAGATTACCTGAATTGGCAGTTGATCTGTTAAATAGCAGCCTACGAAATTTGTAAGATCTCCAGCTATCCAACACAGCAGAAAGCCCAAAGACAGTGCTTGATCCACTCTTCCATTCTGACAGGCAATGTAAATTTGACTGGCACAAATTCCAGAAGTAATTGTAAAATAGCATAAGCAAAAAAATGATCAGTAAGCTTAGAAGTACATTTTTCAAAATCTGAATAAAGAAGGATTAAAACTCTAACCACAAGAGACCTATCACAGCAATACTCCACTTACCTTTTGAAGAAGAACTCAGCATCACTATAGCTCACCATGTGTCACTCTAACATAACAAAAGACTCAAATCACAACCTCATTACTGCTTGCATGTGCTCCTTTTTTTGTGGCCTGCACTGAAATACCATTTTCTGGACACTAGAACTATGCCATAAGCATTTTATATTCATCTGCTGTAAATACCAGCCTTTAAAATACTGAAATAAGAAAAACACTGTTGTTTAACATAGAAGGGCTACGAATGAACAAAGCTTCTAAAAGAGCTGACAACTACACTTATGCCTCTAAACTGGAGAACTGTTACTCGGATTCACAAGGGGGACTATGAAGCAATCCCAAACGTTGAGACCATTAGACATATCTTGACGAATTCCATGCTCACTAACATGACAGTTTTAATGTAAAGCCCCCTTTCACTAATATTTCTGAGGCTCAACAGCTTACTAAGAGTGGTTTTATTTTGCTTGACTTCCACAACCCTCTTACTAGTTCAGTAAATTATATCCCTCTTATGGGGACAGACTTTGGAGTCAATCCCATTTCGTTTCAGGCATTTTTACCTGCTGGGAGCATTTCTACTTTTCCTTTGTCATCTCCTACCTACACATTTGAAACCCAAAGCCAGTGCCAGCGAACAAACAGCAACTGATTTAGCACTACCAAAGTGCTAACTCCTGTGCTGTTTCTGACCTTTTATCCGTCCAAATTTCACTGGCAGGAGCCAGCACAACAGTATTGGTGACATAGCATGTGGTTTAAATAAACACCGAGCTGGCTTTTGCTGCAAGTGTGCCTGTGCATGCACACACATCTCAGGGTGGAGAAGATAAGAGAGAAGAGGTGATTTATTCTCATTTGCTCTAAGTGGCAGAGATTAGTGTCAAGTCAGTACAACAGAACAGTACATCAAGCGCATTTGTCAACCACCAAATATTGTTGCAAACATGAACAACATGCTTCTCTGGCATATTATATCTGTATTATGCAGATAGAGAAACATATCCAAGATAAAATTAAAAAAAAAGGCAGCTTTTGAAAAAGGCTTCAGGCAAGATTACTCATGTTTGAATCTGAGGACTGCTTAAGACTTTAAACTTACGGTAGTGCAGCAAACAGAAAACAGACAATGGAAATCAGTCCCATGACAACACTCCAATACTCCCACGCATTCTCGACACATTCTTCTAGGAGATGCCAAATCCATGGTGTTCCATTTATGCACAATCTCCTCTTCTCTATTGGGGAGATATTGAAAGCATGTGTATACAGCTGAGAAGCCATCATTCCTGGATCGAGATTCAATTTCAGAAGTTTATTTCTGCCTCCATTTTTACCCCATGCAAATCCGCAAATCCGTTTACCAATGCTGAATATCCTCTGTGAAAAGACCTCTGCATCCAGACGGATGCTTGATATCACAGTTATTTCCAATCTCATAAACGGACCTGCCAAATTCAAAGAAATAAATATAGCCAGTGTGAATAAGACATTAGTCGTACAATGCTTGCTTATATTTATTGCTTACAGAAGACAAGTTAGACTTCCAAGAAAGAAAAATACTTTGTGGCCCATCACATTCATTAGCTCCTTGACAAATATGCAATGCTCCAGATTTATATCACTACAGAATTTTAGCCTGAGGTTGCGTTAGACTGAGACTGCCAGCTACACTGAGGTGCCAGCAATCTGCCACAGGATAAAGTAAACCAAGCAATTTACTTGCACTTAAGACCAAAACTGTGAAATTTCATGTTCAACGTTATGCCAACAAAGTAACATTACTTTCTTTAATGGTACTAGCCCAGATTCTGAACACTCACACTTACAAAACATAATGTTACTCTGTATGCAACTTATTTCAGGATAATGTTATGAAAAAGAAGTCACTTATGACTCAGATTCCAGATGAGCTCTAAGGTCTACTTGAATCTAGCTAGCCCATCAGACTAACTAGTGATTCAACATAGTGTCAAACAGTTTGCATTATTTAATACTCCAGAGGAAAGATGGAAAGCTTAAGAAACTTGCAGAAGGCCAATGTAGGGTACTCCTGCCCTCAAAATCCCCAGAATGAAATGCAATAGTAAACACAGCTTAAGTTTTGATGCGAGGGAGGGTTGGGTTTGACCTTTAAAAATATTTTCTTGTAGCTAATTATAATAGTTCTGGATATTTTTTGTTGCTGCTGAAATATCCATCCTATTTGAAATTTTATTATTTATTTAGAAGGCTAACTGCTACAAAATTGAAGAAAATGTTAACAAAAACGCAGAATTATCTATTACTACTCCTTGAAACTTAGCTGATAACCTACTCATATTGATGATAATTTACATCCTCTGAAGGTGAATAATTCCTCATACAGAGGAGTCTAAAATCACCTAGCTATTAAGGAAAAAAGCGAGAGCAAATGCACTGTTTAAAAAAAACCAACAAAATAAGTACTATACTAGTAGGTTCACCTATTTAGTATTGAAAGCCAAATGTAGAACCAGTAAACAAGAAAGATTGTGAAAATTTTTAAGACCATTTGGAACATCTCAGATGCACAGTGAATTCAGGAAACGGGAAGAAGTAATACTGAGGTATAAGAGCACCCCTCTAGAAGCGAATAAAGTTATGCAGCATCTCACAGACAAGAGTCCCCAAGGACTGGGATTTCTGATGTTCACTCCTCACACGTGGAGCTTGGAAAGGCTGACAATACACCCTTTCTGCAACATAACAGGTTGGAGCCACCCTCACTGTGCATCAGACTACTTTCAAATCTTGATATAGTTTCACACAGTCTGTTTTCATGGAGCATCATTCACTGTAAAGTTAGGACTCACTTCGCTACTCATTGAGAAACCTGCTTTTCCTTTTCATGAGACTTCAGGTATCTGCGGCGTTAAATGCTGGAACAGGTTTTCCACAGAAACTGGCTGCCACTCAAGAGAGCTGTCATCATTGGACCTAAACCAATTAAACAATAAAAAAAGAACAGGTATTCATACAATGAGAATTCACCTTAGCCTACTAGATATATTCAACTTATGCTGCTTATACTGGTGAAGTTATCAGACTTTGTAGCCGTCTTTGAAAATAATTTTTAATGTTAAAAAAAAACCACTAACATTTCAAACAAGCTTTCCCATTCTGGTACTCTGCAGCTGAGCAGGGTTTTACCACCCACTAAAAAGGGAAAAACCTCAAAACACACATACAACTTAGGAGGTAGGTTTCAGGCATGAACTTTAAAACATTCATAAACATTGTAACCAAAACCTTATACATTTTATTGAGCTTCATCCCAAAATGCCAATTTCAAGATAAGCAAAATATGTCAGATGTGAAAAAAAAAAAGCTTGAACACAGTATTTTAAAACCGTATCTGAAAAATTAGGTCTAACATGGTATTTAAAACCATGTCTGGATATCCTAACTGCAGTTGGACTCACGCATGCAGAAGTTCTCTTATAAGAGATCAAGGACTATGTGGCAGCAAGTCTAAACAAGGCAATTCAAATTCAACCACCTGATCTTATGCTATACCCTGCTCCAAAACCCTGCAGCTATTACTGAAAACCAAACAGTTTAAAAAGTGGTAGGAATTAGACAGGCCACTTACGCTTCCCAGATGACTGGAGACTTGAGCTTTGGCCTCCTGCCACACAACACACTTAACACATTTAAAGCATGTGGATATTCTTGGGCTGTTATTACTTAACATTTATGCAGCAGAATAATGCCCGCGTTGCCAGTCCTTGAGACAGTATTTTTAATCTTACAATAATTGCTGTTTTTCTTAAATCCTCAGCAAAATACTCAGTCCCAGTAAGAGCCCTACCAACGAAACCCAGAATTTAACCAGTGGCTAGCACAGCTGGATGCTGCCAACTAAACATACCGGCCACAAAAGCTGAACTCCTCCCGCCATTGCTGGGAAGGCAAAAGGCAACAGTGTCAGTGTTGGATCTTTGGTTATTCTCACACCTGGACTGGGCGTGCCATATTGCGATACACCCTTCACCGAATAAGCTACATCTTCTGACATTGAACTATTTTATGTTTTCAGCTCAGAAGAATAATGGTGTTTGAGCTGGACCGGCTAGACATCCCTCCCCAGATGTACACAGTCTTGCATTGAATTTTTCCCCAACATTTTAAAAAAAACTTTTGCTTTTCTATTGTTGCATTTTAAATGCTTTAGACCTGAAAACAGGATAAGGAGATTGCTATGACATTTCTTTTCTTCCTACTGTATTTAAGTTGTCAATGATGAGAAAGGAAAATAATATTAAAAGGTGATTTATGTTCCTGTAACAATTCCTGGCCTGTAACCTCATACTCTTTCTTAGATTACTACCCAAATACTAGTTACTGCCATTTGGAAAAATTACAGTAAAGGTATTATTTTCACAGAACAGTTAACTTGGAACCTTGACATCATACCTTTCTGAAAAGGTTTAGTGTTTGTCTAGCTAGAAATAAAACGGTTATGGTATAAGATATTTAGTAATAAGGGAGCAGTAGCTTGAGGCTCCTGGTTGGACACTCTCTTTCTTATTTTAAACCCCTATTCTGGAGTAAAAATGCACAAACAGAAATAATCAATGGTTTAAAAGTGAAATCCACTTCATTAAGAGTAGCTTCACAGCACAGACGAGGAAAAGCAAGCTTTCCCTGGAACTTGGGAGACTTGCCACGGATTCTCTGCCTCTCCGACTGCCAAGCTGCCATGAACATCCATGCGTTCTGGCTGCTGCGTGTTCCTGGATGTCAAATAACGAGACACAGCTAGTAATCTGTAAAGATGTCAGATACGTATGTTTGGCAGATTTGCAAGTTCTCTAAATTGCAGCTAATAACAGCTTGAAATCCAAAAGGATGTTCAGTTGTACAGTATTCATAATTTAATTACTCCTGGGGAAAAGAAAAAAAAAAAAAGTAAAAAAAAAAGTAGAGCTAAGCTAAGGAGTAATTCAGGCCTTCTGAAACGCTTCCCAGTATTAACCCGGCCATCGAAGTTTGTCTCCAGCCATTCGCTAAATGCATTTTTACACAATCCCGACTGTGAATGCTGCCTCTGAATTCAGAGCTGATGATAAAGCGTGAACAAATTTTACCCAGAAACCAAGCCCGGTTCTCACTGAACACTTCCAACTTGAATGATAAAAAAAACCGCCAAACACCCAAACCACCAAACCCCTGAGGAAGCGCCCTTCTTCAGGAATGGCCAGCAGGCCACCCCAGCCCCGGGGAGCACCATCCCCTTCGGGAGGGTGGGTCCAAGAGGCGGCAGCAGCTCCATGGCTTCCTGCCGGCCCCGGGTGCCCCGGCGGGCCCGTCC